AATTATTGCATTTTATTTAATTTAGGTTAATTTTTGTTCATTTCAGTGTTCGACCCGTTTTAAAGCAATTGGAAAAGAAAAGGATAAATTGACAATTAAATAGACGTTGTGGACCAAATCTCACTTGAATAAAAGTTGGAGGATCAAAAGTAGGGGAATAATGAAGAAAAGGACTAAGTTGCATTAATTATAATGAATGAGCTCTTGAAAGATAGATTCCAACTAATTGGGCTTAAAAGTGGACTTTTAGTTGTCACCAAACTGAATAATGAATGAATGTTTCGTTGGGCTGCATGTGGAATTGATAAAAAGATATATAAATACAAAATGGCTGCCGGCAGAAAGAAAATTAGAGAAGAAGTGGGCTTTGATATATATAGACACACACACGCATCAATAGGCGGCCGGTGGGGGAGAGACACAAAAATACGGATGGTCGGCTGGAATTGATTGGTGCATATACACTAAAAAAAAAGGGCAGCCTACGAGTTAAATTGGGCTGGTATTATATATACAACACACGGCTTTTGGATACAAAAACACTTGAGACATTGAGCAGCTAGGAAAATTGAGGAAGCAGAATTATTTTATACACTTTGGTGGCTGATTACAGAAGAGAGAGGCTGGTCGATATATACATATATTCATACCAACAGAGACATGAAATTCGGTGGCTGCAAAGTGGGAAATTAGACAAAAACAAAAAGGCGGTTGCTTATTAGAATAAAAAGAGAGAGACGGAATCACGTAACTGCAAAGATACACGTAGAAAACGACTTGAGCATAATTGGAATTAATCATGTTCCGTCAATTTATTGTTGACGCCCTTCTTCTTTTATGTATTTGATTCCAATATTTTGTTAGATTAATTTTTCTCATGTATTGGATGAAGATGAAACCTTTTGTTATTTATTTTTAATTTGAGACACATAGTTTAATTAAGTTCTTGTAATTCTTGGTTAATTTTGCATACTTAATTTTATTATTTGATTGCTTGATCACCAATTAAATATATAATTGCTTGTTGTAGTGTTGAGATATTCACAATAGGTTTAGAACACTATTTGATTAACGTACGTGTAATAAATTTTAGAAATAATATTTATCGTGTGTGCAATCTTTGAGATAATTGTGAAATTAAATGTGTTCTATTAATTCAAATTCGGACTAGAAATAGATTTGGGTTGTGAATAGGATAAATTTAACTTGTCTTGGAAAAGAAAATTAATTACAATAGAATTATGGATTGTCAAAAATGTATGAATTAAAGTAGCGACGCAGTTAAGAATTGGAATAGATAATAATAGGTGAATTCGTAATCTAATACATTTAGCCCATATACTTATTAAATTTGCATTTTACTCGTTTTCATAGATTAAGTTTGATTAATTAAAAATCACAAAACATTTTTATTTTGTTTACTTTGAATCTAATCAAGAATTAGTACACTCAATTAAATTTTATTTCTCGTGGGACAATATTCTCAACTTACTAAATTTATTACTTGTCAACGATCCCGTACGCTTACGAATTTTGCACGAACACAACTCATCTCGAATTTTATGATGTTTAGTAACTTCACAATAAAATAAAATAGAATACAATTAATTTCGAAAAATATAATTAAATAATCAATTAAATGTTCAAACTAATCAATGCTGACATGACATTAATTATATGTTTTCCTTCAAGAATAAATCTAATTCAAAATATTTTTTTTCGAAATATGTGCCACTTCGAGAGCACGTTATATTTTTATTATTGTTTCTTAGAAAGCACTATGTCAATATTTTTTTTAAATATTGAAAATTACAATTCATTCTATCCAAGATCAATTACATATTATTATAATAAATTAAAGAAGATTTACTCTATAAGAGTAATAATATAATTTATGCTAAATCGTATTTATTATGCTCTTCTGGAGTAAGTAAAATTAATCAGAACATCAATATATAAATACATATGAAAAAAATTGACATGTAAAGAAATTAAATAATTTAATTCATGATTTTAGATAGAAATTGATCAATATTATTTTAGAATATTAAAAATTGTAATTCATGCTCTTCATGAGCAAAAAATATTGAGAAATGCTATGTGTACACAATAGTATACACATAACATTACACCCCTCTCACATAAAGGGAGGCCCACATATAATAAAATATTCGTGAACCCCCTCCATATTAGGAGTGTAAGCCATTTTACATAACGTGCACACATAGCATTTTCCAATAATATTTTTCTAAAATATTAATTATAATATTGTGCTACTTTATGAGCAATGAAATATTTGTAATAGATAATGAGTAATATTCTTGTAGAATATCGGATTCGGCGTGTCATACTCTTCATGAACAATAACATATTATTATTTAAATAATAAATTGTATAAGAATTTATTTTTCAAGAGTCAAAACACAATTTATGTTAGACTTTACTAAATTAGGCTTCTCGGGAGCAAGTGAAATCTAAATAAAATATTTATAATTAATAGTGTGCTATTTCAGAACCAACAATATTTTGTAATATGAACATAAAGATTAATTGATTAATGAACAATAAAATCAAGGAAAATAATAAAACAGAATCATTACTTTACGTAACATGCATGTCTTAATTTTAATAAAGTGTGTATGTCATAGTAAATAATTATTGGAAGGAAATTTAGCATAAATAATTACATGCACAAAAATATGAAATCATTACACATAATTACAATTTTTTTTCTTAACTTAGGATCTTCTAGACATCATTGTTCAAAATTAGGATCTTGAAAAAACAAAAGTGAGGATTGCTGACATGCAAATACCAACATAAGTCAATAAATCATGACCCACGTAACTTAACTGAATTTCGAAATTACAACATGAATTTTTTACTCAATTAAAGAAATCGATTTCATACATATATTGAATATGTGAATTTTTTTTTTTTTTTTTTGGTCGCCACATTAACTTTGGTACGCATGACAAAAAAAAAAAAATTTTTTTTTACATTCTAACTAATTCACTTTGATTTTGAGAGAATCGTACTGATAATGTGTTATAAATTAAAAAGAATAAGAGGAAAAAAAGGGAGAAAAGTTAATCAATTTGTGTCTAAATAAGAATAAAAGTCACATATTTATAATGAAAAATTAGAGTTACAAGAGATGTAACAGTCATAATGATTATGATTGCATGTATATAAAAGCCATTTATAAATATTACTATATACAATAGTTTCAACAATAATAAACACGAATTATTCACAAAAAAATGACGCCTTCTTAATTTTGTCAAGTTTTAAGGGTAATATTTTCAATCTATTATAATGATTCATCATCATCATTATTATTATTTATACAGTTTCATGGGCTCAACTCTTTCCACACCAGTGAATTTTAGAACATGTCATGCGCTGTATTTCAAGTACAGAATTACATACCTAATCAAATTTTAAGAATTTCAGTACACATACAATTTCTCAAGTAAAAATAACAAGCATGTATCATGACTTACAAACATGGATATAGCCATGGACACATACGCTTACCCCACGAGAAACACACTAACTATTTTTATTTATTTATTTTAAATACACTAATAATCTCCGCTTGTTAAAATTAGAAAGAATATACAAAAAAATATATGACATGTAACGTGGCATTTCGAATATCTAACCGAGGAATTTTAAGCAATTCCTCAAGTGTCATTAATTCAACGCGTGCCAGAGTATAAGGATACTGACAACAAAGAACTTCATAAAATTAACCAAATTATATACTTTAATAATTGTGTCCGTACTTCATAAGTCAACGCATAGGAAAGCGAGATGAATCAAATGCAGCTTTTACTACATAATTGAATGACTATTTTTTTTTTTTTTTTACAAGGTGTCCAATTCTTGACTAATCCTTTGGTCTGTGATCCGACCCCTCTTCACACAGTCCGGTTAATCGCAGGATGTGCCTCCAACTGGCCAGGGTCCGAGCGCTCCCCACCTGGTCTGACAAAGTGCCAAGCAAGTCAATCCAAGTTGCACCTTGCCTTCCAAGAATAATCCTTGCCGTCCAAGTTCCCACTTGCCTTCCAAGAATAAATCCTTGCCTTCCAAGAATAAATCCTTGCCTTCCAAAAACCCCATGTTTCGAACTCACGACCTCTGCTCTGCCAGGTTTGACAGCGTCCGTCCTTTGTCAGTGGAGAAGTGCCCTGGGAGGCGACTATTTGTTATCATAAAAAGAGGAGCCAATGGAAGATGAGAGGGAAAGCAGTGGATTATCTTTAACTAGTTCTTATAATTACCTTTTTTTTTTTTTCATAAAAGTTGATAGAATGCGGAACTAAAAATTGTGGATTCCATAAAATCAATCATTAAAATATAATCATGAACTTTAATTTAAATTTTTAGCTTAACCAAACATATCTTAATTATTAGCAAAAGTTTGTGCAAATAAGTCAAAGAATTAGTTCGAGCTTTCCCTTCCACACGCCTCAAGATTTTGGGGCTCCAATATGATGCACCAATACATTTTTCTGGCATAATCTTATTGATTAATTCTAAATCTAATTTAACCCTTGTTTGGTGGGGATTAAAGGTAGATTTTTAGTAAATTTTGATAGAAATCAATGAAATGTATGGTTAAAAAGTTATGGGACTTGTAAAATATGTAGTTGAAATAAATTGATGATTTTGACTTAAATTAAAATTTATATTTTGATCGGTTCCAACCAAGGGCTTAATCTGTACAATAGATTGCTATTAATTTTCTATTGACAAAATTCATTGTTAACTCAATTTTTTGAAAATAACACAGATAAAGTTAATGCAAGAATTCATTTCTAATCTAACTAAATATATAAGAGGGAGTTTTGAGTTACCGTTCACAAGCCAAATGGCCAAATAAATCAAGCCGTGTTCGAGTCAACCCGTTAGCCGAGCCATGTGACTGGGTGGCTGTAAAAAGATCTTTCCCTATGGATTGTCTAGAACATTTGGAATTTTCCGTGTTCTGTCTTGTGTTTCTCCTTTGGCTTCTTCTTCCTTCGTACATATTTATGGTTTACTAAATGGTGATGATAATTGTGATTTGTGACCACAACTTCTCCTTTCTTCTTCTCTATTTTCTATTTGTTGTAGTAGGTGTTACAGAGAAGGACATGGCCAAGCATGAGGTATATTTTTCCTTCTATTTCCTGTTCGGTTCTTCTCCTCATTTTAGGCAAGAACTCGAAAAAGCTGAACTTTTATTTTGTTCTTGTTATTCTTGGTAGACTTATTTGCTATGGTGAATTGGGAGTTTGATTGAAGATTCTTCTTCTGTCTTGGGTTTTTAAGTTCTTCTTGTTAGATTTAAAGTTTACTTTTATGGGTTGAGAGTTTTGATTGAAGTTCCTATATCTCTCAAGGTTTTTAAGTTTCTTCTTAGTAGATTTACTATTTATTCTTGTGGATTGGGAGTTTCACTAAAGTCCTGTATCTCTTGAGATTTTTAAGTTTCTTGTTGGTAGATTTATTTAGTTATTTTCTGGAGGAGATTTCACAAATTGTTAATGAGTATTTCGACCATTCTGGGAAGCTGGCTGCAATTTTTGACTGCATATTTGCCAAGTTACCATAAATGCCCATCATTCAAATGGAATGGATTAAATATACATGAGTACCTGGGTCATTTTGTAAATAATGGTCAATAATTGCGGCCCAAATTTTGCTATAACGGTCAAAATTTTAATTAAAATTTACTGAGAATCGCCTCCACACAGCCCCTTAGTTTTGTAGGTGGGAGTTTAACTGAAAATATGAAGATTTGCGACTCGTTAGAAGGGTGAAGCCAACATTATTGATGGTGATGGTGCAAACAATATTTGTTAGAATCAATATTGTTTATAAAATGACCGCAAACAATGGAATGAAGTTGTCAATTTTGGTGGGTTAGGATTCATGTTTGGCCTGGTTTTATGGTTTCAATTGCCCTCTTGGTTAAAAGCTTCTAATGAGCAGAAGTAAATTTCACCTTGTCAAAAAAGGGACAGAGCTTGCAACCAACCATTCTCATTATGACCCGTGAGAAGTCCAAGGACTACTCCATAAACATGATTGTAAAAGAGATGTAGTTCCTCTAATAACAGTGCCTCTTCGAATGAACTACATGTAAGTATTATACCCTAGGTCCAATCGACTTTGGACATAAATACTTTTATATATAATTAATACAATTAAATGGCAGATCTATTATTTAATTAATAGACAATTAAATAAATAATAGAGTCCGTAGACTCAAATATTTGTAATTTATTAATTACAAGGAGTTGCGATTGTGAGATACAAATTACATCAGATTGAATCTTAAATCATCCGTGGTCGTAAGTAATAACGAGATACGGATATCGTTATTACGGATAGACCATCACGTGTGGCATTTCTTACTTGTGAAGTAAGTAGCTGATCTCACAAGTTAAAGTGTGGTGACACTTAAATGAACACGTGGATGTTTGTTATAGAACAAAACATTGGAGACCCGTCGAGAGATTCCACATGGATAACTATCTGAGTGTCGGTGGTTAATCTCTAACGTTCGGTAGTGAAATTGGTCCTTTGACTTGAGGTCGTCATGGTACCTTATATGAGGACAGTCGTACTTTGGCGGTGTTGGATGTTGCTCTGAAAAGGGCCGCTAATACGACATCGTTCGGGTACGTCAAGAATCGTATGAAGGTTGTGATTGATCAATAAAGGATTCGTCACTCTTAGATAGTAGGAGATTATGATCTACGTTTCATTCAATTAAGTCAATGATCAAATCCTTGGCCAAGGTGTACGGCCAAGGTGTACTCATAAGTCGAAAAGGAGTTTTCGATTTGTATTGACTTAATAGTGGAGTGAAAGATATGATCGATGATCGAGATTGACACAATTCCATATCTCGTAATTGATCGGATCATATTGACGAAGGGATTATAGTTTCACGGTAAACGAACGAATTTGGTTTTGTCATACCACGTGACATTTCCCGTCACATGTATTGCCCTGACACATTGCTAGATGTTAATCAGGGACGGCGAATGTGAATTGACGATAAATTAAAAGGGTGTTTTAATTTATCAATTTTGATTAGATCAAAATAATATTTCACGTCGTTAGGCATCGTGGTCGGGAACCAATGGGTCACACACAAAAGAGAATTAGAAGATTGCAAATTGCCAATTGATTAATTTAACAATCGTTGGATAAATTAATTAATTGGATTTGTTATTTATATTTTCGAATTAATTAATTGGATTAATTAATTCACGGACCGGGTTTAATTAATTGGATTAATTAATTATTGGGCCGGACCGGGCCGAGCCTATTTGGGTTTATATAAATACATAACTAAGGTTTGAGATCCAATAAAGTTTTCATTATTCTTGCTGGCACAAGAGATAACCCTAGAGGCTGCAATCATATTCTCTGTGTGGATCACCGTTGGAG